GGCTCGTAACATGTAGGTGTTTTTGAACTAGGTGCTCATTAGGTATTTTTGAACTGAGTGTGTTCACTATGTATTTTTGAACTGAGTGTGCTCACTAGATAATTTTGAACTAAGTGTGTTCACTAGGTATTTTTGAACTGAGTGTGTTCACCAGGTATTTTGAACTGTGTGTTCATTAGGTATTTTTGAACTAAATGTGTTCACTAGTTATTTTTTAACTAAGTGTTTACTAGATGTTTTGGACTACATGTTCACCAATTGTAATCCATAAACCTTAGTAATGATGGACTTCGTCCCAATTCTTTAGGATGATCCATAGGAATAAATGAACGAGGAATAGTTGATTCCTAGATTAGATCATTAAGAGTAGAGAAGATAATGGAGATGGGTAATTGGGTTGATTAATTGTTTGAAGATTAAACATAATAATTGTATTGTTGTGGGTTGAAAACCCTATGTACTCACTAGGTTTCCCAACCTGACCCACTCAGTTTATTTATATCACATGTGTTGATATGAAGTCACATTACACTGACAGATTAAGGAGATATAAATCGCTAGTGATAATGAATGTAAGTTCTGTTTATGCTTATGTTTCTGTATTGATGATGACATCCCAAATGTTTTAAAATGAATAAAAATATTTTTCTTCGGAAATGCATTGATAACATATTTATCATGTTTTACTGGGAACAAATTCCACAACATTTTTATTAAAAGAGGTACTCTGAGTTTTATAAAGCATAAACAAAATCGGTCTTTTCTGACTGTGAGAATAGGGATGTCATAGTTTTCCTAGGGCAAATCCCACAAGACTCTCCGCCATCAGCTGTAGGAGGAACTCTCGCTAACTTCCTCTAATTAGCTCACGAATACAATTACATATTACTAAAACCAGATAATTCTTCGAATGAGAGGTCTCACATTACACCGGTTGGACTCAGACAAGATCTGTGCAATAGAGTTAAAACCTAACCTTATCAAATTATCTAGTTCTCATAGTATGTAACTTAAAATATTCACTTACAAGTTAGCTAAATCTAGTTAGAACTCCTATAAAGCATAAAGCAACCAACATTCGGGCATCAAGTAATCAGAACCAAGCATCACCTAATCATGCCATCCTATCACTGACTGATCAGTACTGGCATGCAAGTCTACAAGTTCATACAATATGCATATAAAGGTGTCTCTGTTAGCATTTTATCATGCAAAAATTGAGCAGATCCTTAGCCCTAACTAGCATGCGATTCACAGATTCACCTATCAAAGCATATCAGATAACATGTATGGGTACTTTAGGAAAACTTACTTGAGCTCGGCTGATTGCATGCACCACACCCTTTCTTGTCTTAGAGAACTCTTTAAAAATACATTTCTTTAAAAAAAAACTTTACCAAATCCTCAGTTTGAGTCCAGACACACCTGAGAGTGTGTCTGAATCCCTCAAACCAAGGCTCTGATACCAACTTGTAACGTCCCAAAAATATGATCCAAAAATTTCATTTCTAATTTAATAAAACCATTATTTTCAAAACATCATCGATACAAGCCAAACAAAAAATAATGTATCAAACAACATAACAATCAGAGTAAAACACCACAAAGTGGAACGAGGTGGTGTGTGCTCTACAACCATCCTGGGCCCTTCTCCTTAGAATTGGAAGTCCCTTAAGCATAAACTAAAAACCGTAAGCACATAGCTTAGTGAGTTCCCTAAAATACTACATACCATACATACATATCACATAACAGGCCCCGCCCTAACTCACATAACGGGCCTCACCCAATGAGTATAAAGGGACCCATCTTAACTCGCATAACGGGCCCTGACCAATAAGTATAATGGGACCTACCCTAACTCATATAACGGGCTCCGCCCATATACAATTCATACAAGCGTAACAAGTAATAGTATACAGAGTAACCATCGGGCCCCACCCAGTAAGCATATAAGCACATATACAAGTGTCACACAGACAACGATTATTCTAACATAACAAATCATGGGTCGACATTGGTGCTTCGACCCGGTAAACACAGTGAGGAAACTCACCTCTAAATCTGAGCGATAGCTGAATAGGTCCCGACTCCAAATATCATATCCACCCGAAACCTAAATAGTAACGAATCCTTAGATACAACTCACTATACCTCAACACCTACCCTTTAGGTCAAACTTGGTCAAAGATAAAAGTCAAAGTCAAGGTCAACACTCCATGTTGACCCACCACGCCGTGTTGACTTAGAAACACGTTGTGTTTTGCCATCATCCAATTAGTCGGGGAAAACCCCATCCAACACATTGTGTTGACTTTAAAACAATGTCATACCCCTAAACCATAATGGCAGAAACGCTTGAGGGTGGATGACTTCATGAACAGTATCACAACCAATTGAATACTAGTGATCAAAGCAACATGACCATTATAATTAGGAAAATAACATTATATCCAAATATTGTTTGTTTCAATACCAATTACATTATGACAAGAGTAAATAGTGTGACTCCGTAGCATCCCATCCTCAAAATCTTGTGGTTACCTGCTTAACGATTCCCTGAGAATACAAGTGGTTTTGAAAAAGTATCAACAATTAAGTTGGTGAGTTTATAAGAGTTTTGTATGAGAAGAATCTGTAGCTTTTTCCTTGTAAAATGATAGTGTGTGTTTCCATCGAATCCAATATTTATTTAAAAATGAGTTGTAGTCATGAAACCCTTAGACCAAAAATTTATAAGTATTGTTGTACTTGAAAATAGTATTATGTAGTTTTATTATTATAAAAAACCATTTGAACGTATGTTAGCCCCATAAACCAATTGTATTGTTAATACCCCATGTAAGTTATTACAAACATGTTAAAACTAGTTGGCCTGCTACGACGTTCTTCAGACGTCGGAATGTTAGACAATTGTCACTCCAGACCTGCTGGTCTAACTATAGACAACAACTTAGGTGCAGGATTGTGTATTGTTAGTCATATATAGATCTATACATAAGTGTCACTCTCTCTTACCAAGATTCTAGTTGTAATTCAAGACTTTAGTGTGTACTCTGGTAGGTACAGTGAAGACTGTCTCACAAATTTGTGTTAACAGGTTTACGTATAGTGTAATGAAAACTCTTTTGTATGTGGAAATATTGCATTTCCATAGTAAATACATATTTTAAAATAATTATACATTTAAATGATTATTTATATTGTATCCCCAAACGGTAAAGTAGTGTCAATGACCATAAACTATATCTATTATAGTTTATTATAAATGTTTTGTTGTGTCCATATATATATATATATATATATATATATATATATATATATATATATATATATATATATATATATATATATATATATAAGTTAACATGTTTAGATGTTTTAAAAGATTATATCATATAATTTAGGTCTAACACAAGTACCATAACATTTACTATGACAGTTATTTTTCTAGTTTTTGTTCTTTTGACGGCATTAACCGGTACATATTGAAATATAACTTTGTAAAACTTATTTTACCTTTTTGGAACAATTAAGTCAAATTAACTTTATATGTACAAAACAACATATTTTTGGTTAAAATCCACTAAAATGGTACCATAATCTAGATATGACATTTTTGCTAGAAAACTCACTTTTACATAAAATAATAGATTTTAAAGTTTTATTTTTGTAAAACTAAATCTTTGATATTTTTAACTAGTTTCAAGATATATAACCCAAAATAACTTATTTCAATTTATATGTCTCAAAAAATAGTTTAATAACTAGGTCATAACCATTTTTGCTAGAAACCCCATTTTTTGTTTATAAAAACTATAATCTTTATAGTTTTATGATTATAACTCTTCCTTAAGAAACATATAACATGTTTATACTTGTTCTTATTAGTTTTGCATTTCAAACCATCATACCACATATAAATGTTTAAGTAACTAGTAAATACCACATTTCATGCAAATAATACTTTATACACAATAGAAAGATGAAGCATGCATAACAACTTGAGTTGTTATACAAAGTTTAGTTTACTTGTATCCCCCCTTCCCTCTCCCCCAAAACATGAAAATCTTGAAAATAATAGGTATGAATTCACCTTGAATGTGTTTGTGGTTGGAATAAGAGATGAATGAAGATCTTCGAGCTTAGAACACTTGAAGATGGTTGAAGAACACTTGGAGATTTAGAAACCCTATAGTTAATAACACATGATAATGTGTGTGAATGGATTGAAACTAGTATATTAGTGACTAGAAACACTAGATTATGGAGGAAATACTTACCAAAATCTTAAGAACCAACTTGGAGGGATTAAGCTATGGAGGATTGAAGCTTTTTCTTGAGAGAAAGAGATGAAAATGAAGATGATGGTGTGGATGAGGGCCTCTACGGCCGAATTTAAAATGAGAGGGGAGAGGGCGTGGGGTGGCATGCATGAATATGCATTGGTCAAAATTTTGTTGGAAAGGATGAGACAAATTATGGCAAAGTCATTACGAAATCTGCTACCTTCAAGTGAGTAGGTGAGTAGGTTAAATCTTGTTGAACACATTATCATTTCTCGCCTTCCACAAACACCATAGTAAGTTATGGTGATGAATGTTTTCCTTTTTCTAGGACAATTCCCACATGTCGCTGCATAATCCAAAAAATCTGCCACATTTGTTATGGGAACAGGTGTGATATTGCACCAGTGGAACATCCATTCTTTGGTTTTCCTAGCCAATTCACAGTTTATCAGAATATGATCAACAGTTTCGTCGTCCATTTCACATAAACTGCAAGTTGTTGATGTGATGTTAATGCCTCTTTCTTTCAACGCCATGCTGACAGGTAATCTGGTTTTACCTGCCTTCCAAATAAAACATAAAACCTTAAATGGAACAATGGGCAGCCAAATCATGGAACATCCGCTTGGTGTGGTGATTATCTCATCAAATTTTCGTCTGATGATATCAACATAGAACAACCCATCATGCGCTAATTTGAACCTCAACTGATCATTGGATGTATTCAGAGAACGGGATCCGATGAGCAGCAGTAGCAGCGATCGGAGACCTTAGCAATGTTACACCAAGTACCATTGAGAGATTTTTTGCAATTTGGGTTACGGATTTGTTGTTGTGAAGGTTGTGAATTGACTTGATCACTTCACACCATAAGCTATGATCTTCATTTTTAAGACGCCACCACCATTTGAGAAGCAGTGCATCATTTTGGGCTGTTAATGAGCCCACACCAAGTCCTCCCAGTTGTTTAGAGGCCAACACTTTATCCCAAGAGATCCAATGGATCTTGGAGACGTTTTCCGAGTCACCCCAGAGGAATCTTCTTCTGATTTTCTCAAGGTTGTCAATGACGCAGGTAGGTGGTTTGAATAAGGAGAAATAGTATGTAGGTAAACTATGAGAACGGCTTTGATTAGGGTAAGTCTCCCACAAAATGACATTACTATTACTAAATACTATTACTTGAATTCAGATTGTTAGAATTAACTTGCCAAAATAAGTCATGGTCAGATGGTCTTATATTCATTTCAGATATCGTACTAACATGTTTTTTAGTATGTTAACAAAAGCTTGCATAATAGATCACAGGAGAAAAGATGTGGTATATGTTACATACTCGAGGCCAAACATTTATTTGATCACAGTTTCTTCACCTAAACAACGTTAGCAAGCTTCCAAAATCTTAACTCTCTTTGTTATTATCACGGTCGAATGAAGAATCATTCAATATCAAAAAAAAAAATTTACACTCATCAGAGCTGAATCAATGGTAAAGTGTCATATGGTATCATCCTTGGCTTTCAAATACAACCGATACTTCATGAGAAAAAACCCGGTGGTATGTCCCACTACCACAACAATAAAAACACCAAGATTGTATGACATCACAGACAACATTACAAGGTATGCAAGAGTCATACGGAGTCCATAAACAAAAGCCTGAGTCAGACCACCGACAATTGTATATGGTCTTGAGTTGATGGTTGTGAACACGGAAAAGAACTCAATTGCAACAGCAAGAACGAACAGAAAAGCTAAAGCCAAAATATACATGCCTAACTTGCCATTAGGCCAGTCGTTGAACAATATTTCTACATCTTTGCCCCAGAAGAAGGTCATGTGCATCGTGGCCATGGGCATCGGCATGGGCATGTCCATGTCATGAGACATTTTGTTCAAGTGGAGAAGTGGGACAGACCTTTTCCTTTGATGGTAATTGCGTATGTTGCTTTATATATGGGTATGTCGTTTTTATATGGAGAGGAGATAAGATCAAGATGGATTGATATTGGAAAAACCACCGGCATGAATGTTGCATAAAACAAAGAGCCGGCATGAATCATGCTATGTCCTAATTTACATTATATACACAGATGACAAAATTTCATTATTGCTTCGTATCGTTTTCGAAAAGTTGAATTTTTTGGATAATTTTAGCAAATATTACACTAGTGGTTCTTTTGGTTCCAAAATCAAATGTGGTTAGTCGTTTTGGGCTAATTCTGTTCAAAATATAGGTAAAATACTTATGCAATGACCTATGTACCCTTATCTATTTCGTTTGTCAATTATTTAGGAAATTTCAAGGACCATTTAAATAAACAAGAGAAAATTAAAATAAAACCCTAAAATACATCGCCCAACCCATGACAAGATTTGGAACTTTTATTGCAATATAAAAATAGATTATGAAAATATATTAAACGGTATTGTTACATAACCAATGTGACACGTGAACAATTTGGTTGATACATAGTTTCTTTCTTTCTGAATATGCAATAGTTTTATTTCCAGTTTTAAGAATGTTTTCTGCTAATAAATTTACATATTTGCCAGCAATCATTAAGATATAAAACCATTTTTTTTAGAAGCTTACACATTTGTTTATTAAAACATTTTTTAATTATGTTTTTTCTAGTGCCTAAAAGGCAATATATGTGATTATCTTTTTTGGCGTTTTTGAGTTCTTGTGATAATTTTGGTCATTTGATTATCAACTCGCATCATTTGGTATCAGAGCACCAATGGTATACAAATGGTTGGATGTGGGAAACCTACTTGTAATGTCGCTAACATTACCACTGACAGAGGTCACGATGCTAAACAAAGAGACCCGCACGACGTTCAGATCGAACGCCTTCAACAAAGAATCAGAGACCTCGAACTCCAACATGAGGTTCAAAACGAGGAAAATGAGTTAAACCGTAGTGTCTGGGACGGAGGATATGATGAGGAGGAGAATCATTTTAGCGTTCATCACCGAAACGCTCAGGATGTACATCGTGATGACTCTTTATGCAATTTTAGGATGAAAATAAAGATTCCTAAGTTTGTGGAAAAGGCCCATCCGGATAATTTTATCGATTGGTTGAGCACAATACAAATTTTTTTAATCAGTGCGATATTCCATAGCACTTGAAGGTGAAACTTTTTGCCCTTCAACTCTGCAAATCTACTTTACATTGGTGGGACCATACAAAGAAACAACATGTGAAAGACAGGAAATCCAACATAGAGACATGGGCAAGATGAAGAAGTTGATGCAAAGAAAGTTCCTTCTTGTCAACCATAGACAAGAAACATTTTTAGAATACCATAATTTATCTCAACAAATACCATATGTTGAGGATTTTATTGCTAAAATTGATTGGCTTCAAATGAGGTGCGTCGTAGATGAAGATGAGGAACAAGTCATAACTTGATTTTTGGGTGCTCTCAAACCGGATATTGTTGATGTGGTTCATCTTCAATAGTATCGGACCTTCGCGAATGTGTGTAGGGTGGCACTTAAAGAAGAAAAAACAAATAAAAAATCGAGGTTGATCAGTGAGCAACCGAATCACGAACCCATATCAGCTACCCCCAACGACAATCACACAAACATCATCCTCATAAAAACTTGATGTCACGACTGGTGCTTCTGTTACAACACCGAACTTGTGGGTTTTATGTTGCTTTAAATGCCAAGGATTGGGTCACCTCTCGAGGGAATGTCCAAAAAAACAACTAGTCACATTCATTGATGATGGCACACCCGTATATGATATTGAAAATGATGAGGATGTCGTAGAAGAAACCGAAGAGATTGTGTATGCAGATGATGGAGAAGCTCTAATAACTCAACATGTTTTGAATGTGGATGTGGTGCAAACCATTAATGACTCGTTGTGGCTTCAGAACAATATTTTTCATATAAAGTGCACAACTAAATGCAAAGTTTATATTGTAATCATTAACAGGGGAAGCTGTGACAACATGGTGGCAACAAGTATGGTCGAAAAATTTGGTCTCGATGTGGACGATCATCCAGAAGCATACCAGCTAACTTGGTTAAAAAAAAGGAAGTTTCGTCAAGGTTAGTAAATTTTGCCTTGTTTAGTTTTCTATTGGAAAGAAATATATTCATGAAGTATGTATGTTTTTGTACCTCAGGAAGAAAATAAGAAATGTGAGTTATGGATGTTTTTGCTGAATTTTATGTAGAGAAATAGCGGTATGTATATGTTCTTTGGTGACTTTAGTGTTGTAAGAAACCAAAATGAGAGATTGGGGTCAGTTTTTTTCAAAGAGTGGATGATGATTTTAACTCCTTTATTGATGATGTTGGCCTTTATGAGATTCCAATGGGTGGGTACTCTTTCACTAGATTTGGTAACAACGGAGCCAAATCTAGTAAGCTTGATAGATTTTTACTATCCGAAGATCTGGTCAATCAATTACCTAATCTTTATATCATGGATTTGGAGTTAATTATTTCAGATCACAGACCCATTTGGTTGTCTCCAATTACTTTGGATTATGGTCCCCAATCGTTTGAATTTTTTTAATTCCTTGATGTTAGAACCTGATTTAGATCGGATTGTTAAAAGTTATTGGACCGGGGGAATGGGAGTCAAGGGTGAAAGTGATAGGAATTAGGTAAAATATATAAACTTAAAACCCTTAAGTTCACATGCAACCTAAAGGATCTATGTTTTCACTATTGAACCTATAACTATAAACATCAAACAAGAAACCCTAGAAACCATATACTATTTTCGAAATAACATAAGAAAGGGTTTAGGATTACATACCTTATTGTTATTATAGTAAATGAAAATAATTCCTCCCTTGTAAATCTCTTGGAAGCAAGCACCACAATTATCGTGTCTCTAATGGTTCACACCCAAGCTAGCAAGGAGGCTTAAGAGAGAGGAGAGGGGAGAGTATATTTTCAGCTATCTATTAAGGAAAAAGAGTAGCTAAAAATAGGAGGCCCAAGGGTCGTTATATAGTGGCACATGAAACCCTAGATAACCCCAATTTGAATAAGAAATCAATATTTCAAATCTGATATTTACCTCATTCCTTATTTATCCACATGATATATTCTAGAAACCCTAGAATTGATGGGTTTGAGCCACAAGAACTTTCCTATGTGCACATGCAAACCCTAATTGCTTGGATCTAGGTTTCTCTAATTGAACATGCATTGTATCCAAGACTGTCAGTACTAGATCTAATGTAAACAATTGATTCTAATCATGTGAATTATGATCTAGAACAATACCTTGGATTACTTGCTTGGTACTTCTTCTTCTTGGAGGTTAGAGTCACAATTGTCACTCCTCTAATGGCTTACAAACATCAACTAGCAAGAAGATGATTTGAGAGATAGAGAGAGAGGAGAGAAATCGGCTCTAGGGTTTCTTCAAAGATAGAGTGGCCGATTTCTCCAACCCTAAGGGCCTATTTATACTATGAGCTCCTAGGGTTTCCCCTTAAACCCTAATTGGATAACTTAGCCTCAAAGCAATCCAAATATCCTTATAGATAAGGCCTTGGATGATTTTTAAGATATACATATCCTTAAAATCGTCCCTTCCCATATCCATAAGGATTCATAGCCCTAAACACAACTATCACACATTTGACAGTTTATGCCCTTTTATTCAATTAATCTCTTTAAGTCACCAAATTAATTCTCAATTAATATATGACTTATAATATTATTATTCCTTTAATATATTACTCTCATAATATATTAACAATAATATCTCTTCTCTCTTAACAAATCATCCTGTCAAGTTGCTATGGTGAAGGCAACCCAAAAGGACCATGCACAACCGGGTCAAGTACTTATCAAAAATACTTACAGCCTTAGACACTAATCCAAAAAGAATATCTCCTCAAAATCGTCCACCACCTATGGTGGAAGGTTTTGGGGTCTTTTGTTTAACTATTGAACAATTTCACTTTAGACCCTGCACTTTTATCTAATTCCATTAATCCTAAAATTAATTCTAATTAATTCTGATCAATTATTAATTAAATAATACTTTTCTAATTAATATATTATTTTCATAATATACTAATACACTATTTATTTCATTTTATTAATCACATAATAAATTAATCTCTCCTCTCTCTCTCTCTCTCTCTCTCTTTAAAAGTCACCATGTCCAATTGCTAAGATTGAAGACAGCCTAAAAGGAATGTGCTACTATCAATTCAAGTATATACCAATTTTAGTTATGAGCTTAGACACCTAATCCAATAGTTTCTCACTTGGATAAGTCTATAAATATGATTTCTAATATAACTTCTGAATCGATCAACAAATTATAGCTTCCAAAAGTTGTTGTCTAACTCTGATCTTGTCAAAAACATGTCCTAAGATAAGTGATCAAATATTCTTCCATTCTTCAAGATATTGTAAGGACATGAGATACGGATTATGATTAATCTCATTATCCAAGATTTTGTTTCTCAATTTCGGATTCGTGATGACATCATAAGACTTCTAATTTAACACATCAATTTAGTATTGACTGGGCCTAGCACTATAAGTCAACACCAAATCACTGAGGGGCCCAAAGATATCGTTTTTCTCGTTAAAGAAAAAAGGAACGAATAAACTTTGACTTATATGCTTGCATCATTTACTCATCAAATCACACATGACAATACATTTTATAACATCATGTTACTGATGCATTTACGTATTACCAATGCACAACTGACTTGTAAATTACGACTCATATATCTCTTTTTTAAGAATATAAGATATTATCATCTCACAGTTACTCGTGATATAATCCATGAAGTAATTCTCTGAGCATGGATTTATCCATTACTTAAATCTC